TTTTTAGTTAGAAGTATCACAAAAAAAAGGACGTTAAATAAAAGTATTTATTAATGCATCGATCTGAAGGATGCACAAACTTAAAAAACTCTCACAGAAGCAGAAAACCCCTAGCTTACGGGCTAAAAAATTGTATGTTCAAGTTGTGTAACATGCAGAGTACAAAATTAATAAGGCTAGCCTAAATATTGTCTCACCCCTGACTAAGCGTTCGGCGAAGAAATTGTGGCTAGCAACAGCAAAAAATTGTGACGAAGATTCTGTACTGTCAAACTACTTCGGAATTTAGCAGCTAGAAATCATTATTTATGCATTAAACTAATTTACATTCTAGTAGAACTTCACAAAAGCAGAAGTTATGGAAAAGCCAGAATAATAACATAATTGGGTTAACTAAAATAAAACTTTACAAGTACGTTAATGTTTGTCCTTATGTGTTTACCCATCTTTATCACCTTTTTTTATCTTTAGGGATCGTACACTTTCATTTATCAGTTTCGTGACTCCATCAATGTATTACTATGTTTGCTCAGAACAACCATGTATTTACCCTTACTAGCTACTAGCTTTGGGGATATTAATGTTCGGATTAGTATAAACTTCAAGTAAGGCCTACTCTTTCTTTTGGTTAAGCTTTGAAACGAATAATTTATTATAACATTTGTAGTGAATAATTAAACGATGGATTATATTTTTCCTTGCTTCTGAAATTTTGTCGAATTTAAGAGCTTCGTAGTGAATAATTAAATGATGGATTATATTTTTCCTTGCTTCTGAAATTTTGTCGAATTTAAGAGCTTCGTCAAGAGAAGCAATGATTTGTGAGCTGAAGGTTTATATGTTTGTGAAATTTCAAGTTATACTGTGTAGACATTAGGATTTTTTGAAGCCGAAGACATGAAAAATGAGCAGTGCTCTCTCCGGGACTCGAATCTGGACCTCTCGAAATACGCGCCGAGTGTGCTAACTATTATACTATCACGAAGGCATGCAGAAAGAGGGAGATAATACCATTTCAATACTTTCCTCTCCTCCTCTGCGAGATTAACATTAGAGGTATTAACTATTTGTATCGTAGTAACAGCTGGAAGATTATCAGAGTGATAGGACTGGATGGCTAAGGTGTAAACTTTTATAATTTAGAAGCAAGAACTTTTATATGGCGTTAGCAATCAGTTTCGGTTTTAGATGAAGATTTATGATCAATAGATTAAAAATTAGTTGAACTTGCAATTTTCAAATGAATATGCTATAAATCAGGATCGATTTTAGTTAAACATTTATACGTATTTTATATCATGCGACGAAGAAGTGTCAGTATGAATTTATGCATAACTTTGGAAACAAGAACTGGAAATTTAAGATTACCTCTGGCCTGTATCCTTTTGAAAATGATATTCTTATTTGCATTAATCAAAAAATAAAGATGGGCCCAAAATTCTTATGCTTCAAGCATAAGTTGCGAAACTGGTTATTTTCTGATGGCATATTAAAACAAACGGGAAAAAAAAAACTCAAACGAAAGGCAGAAAGTATCAGAAGCATGAAATAGATAAAAAGAACAAAACAGTTAAAATATGAAAGATTTAACGGCCAATTTCAGTGTGTACTTTGCAGCCATTTATAACCCGTTACACCAGGGATGGGCAAACTTTTTTTGGTCACGGGCCAAAAATCTAAAGGAAAAAAAAAAAAAAAAAAAAAGTTTGGCGGGCCAAGATAAGTTTTTCTAAAATTAATATATATATATATATACAAGTGTTACAATTTAAATATGTTAATAAGATGAATAAAATTGCGATTTCATTTTTAAAAGTTCCTTATATTGAGGATCGAAGTGACATGTACTGATTCTAAGGAAAGAGGCAAAATGCTCATCTGTCAATCTAGTTCTGAAATAATTCTTTCTAAGGTTCATATTTGAAAACACTGTAGAGACATTAGATATTTTTTTGGAAGCCGGAGAGATGAAAAATTAGCAACTGCCTTCCGCGGGAATCGAATCACGGACCTCTGGAATACCGGCCCAGCGCGCAGAACCACTACACCACGAAGGCACGCTAGAAAGAGGGAGAAATACTTTATAACACTTTTTCCCATTTATAAGATAAAGCAAACATAACACTTATTTTCTGGGCATGAGCTATTAAATTTGGGAAACTTACTTTCACTTTCAATAATGATTTGTAAAACTCTAACTTTGGCATATTTAGAAACAAATGTTTGAGATGATTGTTAGATTGCAGCTCAGTTAATTCAAGCAGCAAATATGACCTCACTGATTCACAATTTACGTTGAAAGGCATGATAAAAATATCCAATTCTGTTCTAATGGCACTGAAATCTTGAAATCTGCATTCGAACTCAAAATGCAGTTCTTTTCAAGCCATCATCATAATTCTTCTCTTCATTTACAGAGGGTATTGAATTTGAACTCGGGAAATGAGACAAGTCGTTCTTGGCTAGCTGCCCAGCAAACAGATTTAGTTTAAAAGCTTTGAGATGGGCCCAGATATCGTCGATAAATTGATTTTTCCCTTGCATCTTGACATTCAAGTTGCTCATATGTCAAAGAAGATCTGTGAAAACTGTAAAGTCCGAAAGCCATTCTGTATCTTCTAACATTTCGCGCTCCGCAGAACACTGTTTCTCATGGAAGAACGACACAATGTCGTCTTTCAGTTGCCAAACTCACTTGATAACACATCCTGCACTAAGCCACCTTACTTTCGCGTAATACAGTACATCAGCATATTAAGATTGCACGGACTGAAGAAAATCTCTAAATTGCCTTTAAGTAAGCCCACGAGAACAAATACAATGTAGAATACAATGTAGAAAAACAACATTGTTCCCGGGATAGTTTTGATTAAAGAGTACAAGAAATCCAGATTTTTTTTCCTGTCATATTTAGTGCTCCATCGGTCGTAATATTACATATATTTATTATAGGCACTTTCAAAGATAAAGCCCTTCCTAAAATGCACGAAACATATGACATTCCGTTGTAGTTCCCTTTAAAGAACACATGCACGCCAGTCCTCGGTAATTTCAAAGTTTTCATCAACAGCTCTTATAAATAATACTAACTGAGCCGTATCATTTATATCAATGCTTTCATCCGTAGCTATGGAGCAAAATTTAAACTGGCCAGGCTTTGACTCTAATTGTGATGTCAAATTTTTTTCGATGTCTGCCGCCCAGACGGTATAATGGTTAGCGGAGCCTGACTGCGATACCAAAGGGCCCGGTTCGAATCACGGAGAAGGCATGGATGTAAAATTGTCTATTCCTTCATATAGGAGGTAACGGTGGCCGCCTATTAGGTGCCTCCACAATAAAATGGCTACCACTTATGGCCTTAGTAGTGGCCAATGCGTTTAAAAAAAATTATCGATGTCTTCGATTCTAGAAGTCACCGTTTTTCGAGATAAGCTTACAGTCTCAAAATTATTTTCCCCTTCTGGATACCTCATCGCCAACCAGATGTCTTATCGCTCATCACGTGACATTAGTCACACCCCTGCATCTGCTATCCTGTCTCCACGAGAACTACGTTCGGCATTTCCTTACCTGCAGCGCTCCTAGAAGCACCAAAGTTCGATAGCCGGAACACAACCTGCAATTTCGCAGGTTAATCGCGGCAAATAAAGCAAGTTGGAGTTGGACATAAAACATCACAATCTTGGAGCGTGCATTGTTTAACGAGCTCCCCATCATTGAGAGCTTTATTTATTTTTAGCAAAATTGTATGCTAAAATGTAACTTGCATGTGTAGCTCCTTCTTGGATACTGTTTACCTTCTTGAAAAAATTTTGTTGGCCTGATAATTTTTTACAAAGACTTTCTGCATCTTGTTTTCTTCCATATTCAGACATTGCTTCGTAATATATATTGTTACGAATTTTGTACTTAGATAGGTAATTTTAGTAGAATTACAATTAAAATTGTCATATTTTTGTGTGTAATGTAGCGCCAGGCAAATTTTAAGACAAAGCTGTGCTGGAAAAGTAAGAATACAGGGGCACGTGCATTTAACATTCAGTAAATGGGTAATTCGTATTGAATTGAATAATTTTAATTAATCACTCTGTTAGCTGTAACTGTAATTCCCTCCTCGTATTACTTTCCAGTAATTTCCAGAAGCAGAAAGTACTAGAAATATCTCGCGGCCGGTTGAAAACTCTTTAAGGCCGAAGAGAGAGTATCTGCTTTTGGTATTGTGTTGCAAGTTCAGCGTGAGATTGGATTAGCCTTCTCTTTCGATGCACTTTGCATTGCGTTGTGTTTAACGTTCTTAGCAGTTTGAAGTGTAACTACAGATTATACTGCGTGATACTACTGATAACACTTGTGGAAAATTCAAGAGTTCTGAAATATTTCTTTTGATAAAAATAAATTTTATCAACCTATTTTCGGACTTGTGCATTAATTCTATTACGAACTCGTACGCATGCAACAATATGTATACTTACAAATAAATATATAGCAAAAATTATGAGAAAGAAACCTATGCTCATTTTTTAATACTCGACAAGTTTTTAGTCAAATAGTTATGGGAGTGAAATCGATTCTTATTTAAAATGTAAATTATTGCTGTTTATTTGTGACGTAAGCCTGTGTAAAATTCATTGAGAATTCCTATTAATGGTCTTTATTGATATAAAACATGATTAACCAAGTTTTTTCCCATTCGAAAGTTTGCCGAGGTCAATATACCAAAAATATAAATTCTACAGTATGGAAGATTTAGTCTAAATCTGACGGCTCTTTAGATAAGCCGGCGCTAATGAAATATGAGGCTTTAAATATGCAGCAGTGCAATAGAACGAATACAAATATACTTTATAAAGTATATTTTGTACGGACAAACAGAAAAAATTTCATTTATTGTGCCTTTTATTTTTCTAAATGAGATGAAAACTGAGTGGGCGAAACCCTCCTGTTTAGATTTTGTGCAGTTAGCTACTGATATGGCAGGTGGTTTACATTCAGTTCATTTTTCCGTTTCTTGACTTAGTCACATGATTTATTCTCATATCTGAGATCATTGGTCTTTTAGAATATGTTTAGCGGATGCTGAGTTTGGAGCAGCAAGTTTCGCCTGACAGAGAAGTAAGTATCTATGTCCACATCTACTCAGATAAAGTAAGTTTGCTTCACACATACAACGCGGCATTACCATTTACTTACTTTTATAACACTGCATACCTAGAAAAAAATTGAATACTATATATCTTAGCTATCAGCAATACAAGAAAATGAAAATACTGTCATGGTAAAAAGTATTTTTCATTTCATTATTTCGGGAAAGGGGATACTTTTTTGAGGAAACGGTACCTATGATAGTAGTCTTTTAAATCTGTTAAGTTTTACACATGAATCTTAGTTAACCGTTTGTAGTTTTATGCCTTATTTTGTATTTTATAAAGTATTTGATTAAAAATTTTCATAAAAATTTACACTGTTAGTGTAATTAAAGGTCTCAAAGAGACAAGATCCAAGTTTATCTTTTTACTTTTGTTTTCTAGAAATGCTCTTAAAATCTTCCTTTAATCAACACTTTTCCCGATGCTTTTGGACAAGCTTAGTTGCTGTCACAGCTCTCGTATGTGGAATTCTCTTATATGTGAGCTGCTTACGTAAAGGTAATTACATGTTTTGATGTTTATTCTTCTCTAGTAGCTGCATAATGACGCGTGATGAAACATTGCACGATAGGTAAAAATTAATTTTTTATTTGCTAATTTGACAACCAACTTTCCCCGAAATCCTCAGTAATTTCTGAGTTACCCGATTAAATCAGAGATGGAAGAGAAAGGGAAGAAAACACGTTTAAACGAAATTTTAGGTGAAATCTGTTATCTAAAATTTCGTTTAAACGATTCCTAAAAGCCTCAAGATGTATAATGGCTAACTAAATTAGCCATAAAAATTCGATAAATATTATATTCTTTTATAACATCAAAAAATAAAATAGTAGACGAACTGAGAAATTATATAATAAGCGAAAATAATTTAGTATTTTTGAAAACACTGAGATGCTGAGATCTGGAAAAATAAAAAACTTCCTTCAAACGAACTGGACACTGTAGCTTAATAAACAATTAACCTCACAAAATGCAAAATCCTGAAAAATATTTGTATCAGAAATGCTAAGTATTAATCTTCGTTACCAAACTATGTATGCCATTTTTCGCAGTAAAAACGCCCTCAGTACGGTATATATCATTTGTGGCTTTTAATAGGGTTCAAATAAAACGCCCTTGCAGACGGCCTGTTCAGCGGGAATTGAACTCCGATCAAGCAAGCAGTGTTCAGCAGCTTTATTTGTTATGTTATTGACTGGTCTTGAAATCTAAGGACATGAAAATAAGCGATACCGCATTCGAGCAGAATTTCGAATATTTTTAAAAATTTGTTGCTAGTAATTTGACAGTTTTAATTTCCACTACTTTTATTTGCAAACTCTGCTTTATAGTCATTCCTTCCAAGAAAATCTACCCCTCCACGTTTATGAACATCACTATTGTTTATATTTATATTTCCTAGAAACTGTAGCGAAAGTAACTGAAAAGAAATTGTATAATAACAAAAGAAATCCGGATTTTTATCTCAATATTCCTTTGATTTTGTTAACAACTGTTGAACTTGCATCCTCTGAAAACTAAAAACCATCTAGAATCTAAAAATTATAGGTTAATTATCCGTACACTTAGATAAATTAAATTTTCTTAGGTAAAAGGTGAGTAATTTACACATTTTAGAAATATCTGAAAGATGGGAGAATGGGGTTAAAACACGGGAACGTGGTCTCCAGGAAGAGACGATTGATAATAAATATTCTTATACAGTCAAACATCTTTAGAAGGTAACTTAGATCATTACGCGAATAGGGTCATATTTTGAAAGCCTTTGGTCAGAATAATACACGATTTTCTAAATTGAAGTTTATTGCAAAGGCAAGCCATAGCTGAATTTTATGTCATTATAAACTGCATGGAAGAGTTGAGTTAAATTTAAAAAATACAATTAGATTTACCAAAGATAATTACATTATTTTGATAAATAAAGCACTAAATCAGTTTTTGAATAGAAAGAAAGATTTCAAGTAATTTAACAACTATACCGCCTTTGATAATTAATCTGTTAATTTGTGTAATTATAAATAAGTAATTCGGTACTTGTCTTCTACAGTGATCCTACGGCGAAAGAAAACGGCGTTGGTGCAATTCGGGAAAGTTTAAGAAAAGTATTAAACTGGCGATTTAATGCCAAATCTTATAAATATCCACGAAAACAAAATAGACTGCAGTAAACAGCTCATTCAATATCTATACAACACAAGTTATTTAGTATGTATTTAGAAGGAATTTATTATAAATTTGTATTTATTATGGTATTTAATACAATTTTGTCAGCAATTCGTTTAAAATAACAATGTAATTCAGTATAATTTATTTAATACATATATACATTAATTATTACATTAATTATCGTGTTTAGCACAATTATGTAAACAATTTATTTAAAGTAAAAGCACAAACACCCCCCCCATATATGTATATATATATATATATAATTGAAATAGAAATTGTAAAGCTAACTAGTATTGAGACGCAAGACCTATTTGGTCTCAAAAATTTTTTGCGCATAATACTGCAAAAAGATACAAATTGATTGCAGCGATCTTGCTAAAAGGTTACCAAGAGCTGTAGCTCCACGAAATAGTTCAACGCTGTATTACTAAAATATGAACTAAGAAGAATTTTATAAAAAAACTTATCTGGAAAAACTGGAAAAAACTGTAAACACGCGAAAAAAACATTAAAATTAATGTTGGAAGACATGCGAATGCACTAAAAAAATCTGACCGTTGTGATATGTACTAAGTTAATACATATAAAAAATAGATTGACGGAAAAATATAAATGAAAAGTTAATACACAAAAAATAGATTGACGGAAAAAAATACCAAAACATAAAATGCAAAAATTATAATGAAAACACAAATTACTAAAATACAAAAATACAATAATTATAAAGCGGAAAATGGTAAATTAACCCACTCGTACCCTCTGCCAGGCTTTTCAAGGGAAAAATGACTGATTGTACGAACTAGGCCAAATACCATTACGCGTTTCGCCGAAACAGACCATTGAAGCTCTTGTTTGATGCGAAATTTTTTTTTATAAAACATGAAAAGTCCCGAATAAATCTTTTTTGGAATTTCGCTGTTTTGTTCCTTTTTCCCGACGCGTCCGCTGAAAAACACATTAGGGTGTTAAGAATGTAATTGCAACTCCGAGCAATGTAATATTAAAATCAAAATAAAATAAATAGTGGTCTGCTATTAGTCAAAAAATTACAACAACGTACGGGCTGGTCCTGCACAGCTTAAAGAACATAGAACTTTTATAAAGAGAATGGTGCTGTAGTCAAATTAAAATGCAATTAAATTTGCAAGAAAACAAACGTCGTTGGGTCTTATTAGGACCAAAAAAACACAGACAAAAGAAACGAAAAAACTGACCTGTGAGGTACCGTCCTGAGCATCGCGAAAAAATTTGAAAAGGGTGCAAATCCCCTCCGTGTCCTACCAACCTTCCTTCTCGTCGTGTGACGTATGTGGGAGAAACAATTAAAACTGCATAGGCCAATGGGCTGAGATTGTAGTTTTGGCGGGAATTCCTGTTCCCCCCCTTTTTTTTATAGAGGGTGTGACAGACGTGAAAAGACACGGAAAGAACTCAAAATGGCGTCAGTCAAGTTGTTAGAAGAACAAAACTGCTACAAATAAGTGAAAATGGCTAATTCAGCTAAAATTACTTATTTTTGGCCACAAAAGAAAGAGTAAATTGGAAAAAAGTCATTTGTTAATAAAAGTCGTCATTCTTCAAGCTAGAGGGCGGTCAAGCTACTATGAAAAATGAAAAGGCCCGATTTTTATAGGGGTTTTTTTATACAGGGTGTGACAGACGTGAAAGACACGGAAAGAAGACTCAAAATGGCGTCAGTCAAAGTTGTTAGAAGAACAAAACTGCTACAAATAAGTGAAAATGGCTAATTCAGCTAAAATTACTTATTTTTGGCCACAAAAGAAAGAGTAAATTGGAAAAAAGTCATTTGTTAATAAAAGTCGTCATTCTTCAAGCTAGAGGGCGGTCAAGCTACTATGAAAAATGAAAAGGCCCGATTTGTTAATAATAGTAGAATTTGGCCATCTAAGTAATTTAAAACTATTAAAACAATAGTATTAAAATATAGTACCAAAATCTTTGGAGGAAAGAAAAGATATTTACGAGAAAAATCTGTACATTTATACAATTTTTACATTAGATTATCTAAATCAGCCATCCACTTTATACCGTCCCATTGGGCTTTGAGCATAAAATTTCATTATCCAAAACAAATTATCTAAAAATTGGTAAGGCTAATGCCAGCTTTTTTTAAGGTATTTTTAATTATTTTATGAGGAATTTGGTTATTTTTCAAAATTGTGAGTATTTCAAAAGTAAAGTATTTCTTCTTGTAAGTGTTACATATTCTGTAAGTGTTACATATTTGTTCTTGTAGTATTACATGTTCTTTTTATTCTAAGTAGCTGTGAAAAAATTGTGTTAATGAGGATTCTTTTGGAAATATTAGAATTCCAGTTGGTTAACTTTAGTGTAGAAAAAGTGAATTCTCTCCTCTTGTCGTAGTAGGCTTTAATAAAATTGTAATCAATAATATTTAGGTCAAGGTATACTACATTATTTTGCACCGTATTTGTATTATTTAGTTTTAAGCAAGTTGGGTAGATATTAGCAGCTTCTATTTTGTTATGGTTGTTAAAGGCTATGATATCATCAATGTAACGATATATGTGTTGGTAAAATTTATGTTCTTCTTTATTAAGTGAACGGACAAAGGTTAATTCTTTTGTGAAAAGGAATAATTCACATACAGCGCTTGAAAAATTACCACCCATTGGGATCCCTTGAATTTGTTTGAAGATGCTATTGTTAAAGAGAATAAAATTATTGAAAAGCACGCTCGAAAGAAAAAGTTGCCATTTTTCGTAATCAATTATTGTCGAAATCTGTGGAATTATATCTGGTAGAGCAAGTAAGCTGGTATAAATTTCTTCAAGTGGTAAGGTAGTATAAAGGTTCTCGAAGTCGTAGCATTGTATATGGTCTATTTGAAGTGAATTAATTGTCTTAATCATGAGCTCGTTACTTGAAATCATCCACTTGCAATGCCTATCCTTAAAATCATAGTTATTAATCAAGTCACGTATTAAACGAAGTATTTTTGCAAAAAGATAATCTATTTCTTTAAGATAACTTTTGATACTATTGGCAATGAACCTGAACTTAATAGGAGACTTATGAAAATTTGGAAGCGCATAGAGATTTGCAAATCTGTTATTATAGTTCCGGGGATGTATCTTAAGTCTTTTATGTAGTGCGTTAAATTTATTGATAAGAATTTTGGTGTTGGTAGTAATTTTTTGGTAAGTGCAATTACTATTAAGTTCTTTGTGTAGAAGGTCGAAGTAAAACTTTTTTCAAATAACACTGAAATTGTTGCTAGCTTTGTCAATTTTTGTTAATGATAAAATTATCTTGCATTTTTTAAATTAGATTATAGAGTTGTTTCT